AAATCGGAAGAACAATTAACGAATTTCATGGGCGTAGCTAAGAGAGGAGTTTTGAGGCTCAAAACTAGAAACAAATTTGAGTGTTGTGCAGATCAATGTTTTTCAATTCTATAGTAGTTAAAGATGGTAGATCTATTCCTAAAGTATAATGAATAAAATTAGGTTAGCAACCTTACCTAAATCAAACTCTTTGAATTTGTTATTTCGACTGGTTTTGTACTGCTGGCAGGTGGAGAAACGCCTGTCAAAAACTTCAACCGATAGGCTAATAAATATCTTGAGGGTTTCTATGACCAGTTTTTGAATTAGTTATATATTACGCTTACACCAAATGAAAAACTGGGTCTACACAGTGCACATTTAATTAGACATTTATTATGTATTGGTCAAGAACAGGATGTATGCAAAGTCTACACACATATGAAAATTATAATACAAACCTTCTCAGAAAATGAGTCAAAAAAAAAGTTTACTAAACACACTATCCTTTCTTGATATTCAGGATGTCTGACTCAAAAACAACGTCGGCCGTGTCAACTTTTCTACTGCTTTCGTCCTTGCGTATGATCACAATATTTACATAAGCTAAAGTTTCTTGTCCTGTAGGAGAAAAGAATTAACCAAACCTGGACGGTAAGACTAGACTGATGAAGCCTGCCTACACACACATCGACTCACACACACACAAAAAACGTGAGACAGACATTCTCACTACCATTTGAACACTCATTCACGTGGACGAGATAAAACTTTTGGAGGTAAATGTTTAAAAATAGTTTTTGGGGAAATATACGCTAAGAACACAAATAACCAAAGGAGCAGGGCTGGCTCAGACCCAGTCAACAAGATACGAGTCTAAGATTTATTAGCATCGTTTCATTCTGGTGGTATCGAACGACTCGAGATTGTATTTGAAACAAAATTAGTTAAACTGTGCTAGCTTCACATATGAGAGCTTTACGTACAAACAGATAGATAGATAGATAGATAGATAAAAAGATAGATAGATAGATAGATAGATAGATAGATAGATAGATAGATAGATAGATAGATAGATAGATAGATAGATAGATAGATAGATAGATAGATGTTACAAACACATCGCAAAGAGTTAGAAGTTGAATTTATTTAGCAAGAAAACAAAACTAAACCTTGTCAAATACAAGTCTTCCTCATTGAATCTTTTTAGTTAAAAAAAGTTTAACAAGAGAGGTAACTGGGAATAAAAAGAATGCATTAATTAATACATAACCCCGAATGCATCGCTCGATTTCCCTAACATTAACTGGAAACAAATAATATTGATTAATATTGAAAGTAGGCGACCACCAAACAAAACAGTATGAAATAAAAAATCCAACCTGACATCCTATTTGATGGAGTATCGAATACAAATAGTAGAACAAGAAGACGGGGACAAAAGAGTAGTCCGTCTTGTTGCTGTGGACTAGAGAATTCTAAAAGGACGCAGAATTCATGTCATTTTTTTTAACTTTGGTGTAAAATACGTCATTTAATACAATAGCTACAATGAGTTCAGTGGATAAAATGTATTAAATAAATATTCAGAAATGAACATTTCCATGTTACCTGCAGCAAAATGGCTTGCATTTTCTAATCGTCCTTTACCACTCGTATACATTGTTCAATTTTCCCAATAGTAATAGGAAACACTTAATATCGGTAACAGGCGTCCACTAAACAAAATGGCAAAAATCAGATTCTCTTAATGATTAAATTTACACTGTCAGGACTGAATTCTGGTCAGCCTGGGTCTCCTGTCTACTTTAGAGGATAAGGGGGGCAATTCAGGGTGTTGACTTCAAGACTATTTTGTTTTGGATTGTTTTACTTTGTGAGATGTTTTTTTAAATGGAATGCAGCTCATAATAAAACTGTGGTTTTTGTTCCTAGTCCAGGACAGTTGAATTTTGGTTATAGAGTTGAAGTGAGACTCTAATTATTTTCGTATAGTTATTATTAAGTATTATGGGATATTGAGATGTTATATTTTAATTCATACTGGATATTTCATTTGCCAGATCTTTGCCTGTATTATATTACAGCATTTGTGATAAACAAGTTATACATCCGTGAATTGGCATTCTGAATCTGCATTCTGTCGTTAAATGTGTCGTTACGGTATTGTTCAGGACTTGGTTACATTTAGTAATCAGCATACGTATATTAGAGAAGAAAGAACCTTGACATGTGAGTATTTAAGGGAGAGCAGGAGAAAGTAACAAGCTGTGTTGTTCACAACTAGGCAGGTATAGAGATATTTATCAGGTTATGTCGATTCTCTAACATTCTAGATAATTCAGACCCAATGACACATTTGCACAGAAGTACAGGTATGTCATAAAGAAGTACAGGTGTGCAGAGGCGTGGTGAGCTAACATGCGCCCGGAGCAAGAAACTTTATTGCCCCCCCCCCCCCATTTTCCATGAACATCAAATAGAACTATCGGCTTCTAAATAAAACGAATTGAATACTAATAGAATACAAATAACCTTAGAATGTATTACCTAACTTTATATATTTTTGGCGCCTCTCTGCGTGTGGCGCCTCTCTGATGGTGGCGCCCTAGGCATCGTGCCCTCCTATTACTACACCTCTACTTGTATTTGTCATAAAGAATTACATGTATTTATTGTTTTATTTTTTAAAAAATACAGAAACGCGTTTGTTTGTTTAATTACAATTTCTCTAATTAGCGTACAAACACTTAATGAGTCCGAAAACCTGGCTGGATACGGATCTCGAAAACGGCACTAACGAATTTCCTAGAAATTTGGTAGTATATGGAAGAAGATTTACTAGCTAATTGGTCAAACATTAAAAACTCTGGATTGACCGTTATAATTGTTCAAAATAGAATAATCTTAACATTAAATATGGTCCGGAGATCTGTATCTGGAACACGTCAGTGAGACTTCTCGCTTCTATTCGCTCAGGTTTATACACCTTATTACCAAATGTCGGATCAAGTTGAAATTTGGCACAATTATTATTAAAAAGCAATAAAAGAAATTAACGAATTAGTTCACTAGCCATTGCTAATTAAATTTGTATTTGTTCGGTAAAGAAATTTTACTTGACTAATAAAGTGGAATTAAATTAGTCTCCTTTATTCTTTGTAGAGAGAAAAGTTTGAAACTAACACACTAGATAACTATTAAACTTTTTATTCATTAGTTATGAAGAGCTAAGTAATCAGTCTAGAGTCTAGAAGACTATCATCAGTTTTATAAAAATAAATCAATATTATATATCGCAAATTTATTTTCAATGATACAGCGCCGATTTCTTTAATATGACATTTTGTGGGAGTCTGGTATCGGTTTTCATCACTCTTTTTTATAATCTTATACTCTGTAGAGCATCAAAGAACATCTGACAATTCTGACATCCTTTTATATTATATGCATTTTTCATAAAGACATTTAAAATTGAACTTTCTCTAAGCTGACGTTGTTTCTAAGTTGTTATTTTAAATTGACTAATTGAATGATCTTCTGATGAATGTGTCTTGGTTTCTTGTGTACATCATAAAATAGTACCCCGTTCTTCCTTTTTCTTCTCTGGGGCATCAATGGTAACTCTTTCGCAACTTCACGTCGTCTTGGTCTTCTGCTTTTCTGTTGACTCCTGTAACTGTTTCCAGTGGAAAAGATTTTATTAATGCCGTTCGATCTCTTAACGTACCAAGTCCATCACTTTGTAATGCAAATCTAATACATGAATAATTTTTTTATCGAATTCCTTAGTTCTAAGTTCAGTGTATGTATTGTGGAAATATTGACGAAGACATTATCTTCTAGTCGTGCTACACATTTAAAAACAGTGAAGGCCAACAAACACTGAAGACAAACTCAGTTCACTTTAGTCACTGCATATAAGACTGAAGCAGAGATCAAGCAACAGAGTTATGTACTAATGACTGTTTTATTTGAAAGAACCTGACTTTTAGTACTTAGATAAAAGTGCTCTTCGCATCGCACGCCTTAGCAAAGAAAATAAAAGTACTTTGTTATCTTATTACTTTTTGTTACCTTATAGTACTTTCTTATCAAAAAGTAGAGTAATTTGTTATATAATTTATCAATGAAATTTTGACTTAGAATGCACAAACAATGTTTTGCCTCAAGGTCTTGCATATATTGAAAGTAAAACATCAACAAATAGACTGAAGCAAACAAGAAATAAACGAAATATAAAATGTAACATATTTTAATAAAATAATTATAAAATAAAGTGATTAGAATGTTTATATATTGTTCTTAAATAATTATTAGAATAAAACATTTGACTCGGAAATATCTGGGCCATCGAGATAAGTATTAACAATTTTAAACAAAAAGGCAGATTTTAAGTCATTGATTAACATGCATGACTATATTGATCTAGGGACATGTGTAGGACGCAATCATCTTCTTTTTTTGAAGTAATGTCTGTATTTTATAAGATGGATAAATACATGTGCAAAGATTTATGAATAAATATGTTATGGATAGTGTTATGGCACGATTAGGAATTGGGTGTGGGGGGAGTTATTGGTTTCCTAAATAGGGAGAGTTTCCACTTCAATGGCGTCACGAATTAAAAAAACAACAAGACTAGGATTTAGAAAGTAAACACAGGAGACTTTTGGCAGTCCTGGAGTAAGGTCGGCTTTAGTAACTGACGTAGAGATTTCGTTTAGTGACATTCGACAGTACCCTTCGTTATTCTTCAATTTCTTGGTCGACATTCGCAGTCAGCGTTGACTATCTTCTGTTGTTGGCCTTTCGCCTGTGTTTATTGATTTCGTTTTTTTGAGAGTTACCTTCGTTTGAAATTTTAAACAAAAACATTTGATACTTTAATATTATCATTGTGAACTTAGCATTGTGAACTTATCATCATTGAAAAAAAATACGAGGTAAAAACAACAACTTTACACTGTTGCTGCATAAGACACAACGCGGTTGCGTTTAACAATAGCCATCGTGTTTCAGGGGGGGGGGGGGGGGGCAGGAAAAGTGGTTTGGGTGGGGGGTAAATATATGGACATGAGCGTGATTGATTGTTGCATACAATCCCATTTGAGATGAAAAAAGAAAAACGACTCAATTCGTTTGTATAGATGAAATGATATCCTAAGAATTTAAAAGATGTATTTCACACAAAAAGGAGTAAGTGTACGTGTACCCCAACTTGACTAAATGTTGACATGTTCACTTAGTTCTAGTTTTAGGGAGAAAGAAGTCAGTACATTTCTTCTCTGCTCACAGCAAACTTTGCATCCCACTTGAGCTTCGACATAATGAAAAATGGAAAAAAAAACGATGTAAAAAGTAGATTGAATAGAATCCCAAACTAATAACTTACTTCCTGTTTTAACTGGGTTTTTTTGGTTTGCTTTTTTTTTGATAATTAAAAATTATGATTTGATTCATGGGTAACTGGAACTGGCTTCACGTTTCACAGGAAGCTTTAACTAGTTAATTCATAAGCAACACATCTTGCTTCCAAATGTAAAAAGTGTTCTTATGCTATTCTTATGCTACTTACAAAAAAAAAAGATAGATAGGATATAGTGAAGTTTTAAACCAAAACATTTGATTTTTTAATATTATCATTGTGAACTTATCATTGTGAACTTATCATCATTGAACTTATCATTGTGAACTTATCATCATTGAAATAAATACGAGATAAAACAACAACTTTGCACTGTTGCTAATGCACTTCAATGAAAAGAAGAGAATGCCTTCGTTACAAGTAGACATGTGCAATAACAATGTTTCGTTGTTCAAGTCTTAACCATCAAAAGTTAAACATGTTTATACAAACAATAAAATCTGACATTTGAAAGAAAGAAACAGCAGTATAGAAAATAGATGTTGCAATGGAATATCAGCGATAGTAGAATGAACCATGCAATTTTCAGAACAAGGCCCACTTGATGCAGGTACCACGACAAATCGTTCACAGACATTTCGTTCACCTACAAATCTTTTACGACAATTCGTTCACCTGACATTTCGTTCACCGGACAATCCGTCCACCCGACTATTCGTTAACCCGCCTATTTGTTCACCCGACAATGACGACATATCCTTCACCAACTACTGGTTCACAGTCTTGTTCACCTACATTTAGTTTACGAGAAATCGTTCGGTCGGGTGAACGAACAGTCGAGTGAACAAATTGTCGGGTGAACGAATTGTCTATTGAAGGGAATATCGGTTGAACGAAATGTCCGTGAACAATTTGCCGTGTTCCCTTAGATATGTTCCCACTTTGGACAGTTCCTTTTAGTTGTGAGGTTTGGATGCTGGGTGACTGTAGGGCGCTCGTTCCATGAAAGGTTATTTATTTGGCTTGAACTGTATCGTAGGCTGGGGGGTAGCCATTGAATGGAGGCGGAGGCGCTTGCACATCTAATGGTGGTTGTGGTGGGTATGGCGGAGGCATATTGTATCCGTCGTAGGGATTTCCAAATGTCGGTGGTGGATAAACACCGTAGGTATTGCCGTACGTCATGGGTGGGTACGGCCCTGCAACAGAAAGGGGAAAAAAGTTATTTTATGATTATAAATGATTTATTAAGTTTTAATTTTTACAAATTTAATAATACTAATTCGTTTTAAAAGATTTTGAGACCATGGGGAATGGAGGTGAAGCAGTATTCTAGGAAAATATTCTTATCTTATATAATACAGACGTTACTTCAAAAAAGAAGATGATTACTTCCAACGCGTCATGCATTTAGTCATGCAAGTTAACCAATGACTTAAATTCTTCCAAGTCACTAGTTTTCGTGGCTGACTCAGGCAACCCATTCCATGCTCTAATAGCACTAGGGAAGAAGGAGCTTTTGTACACATTTTTACAAGCGTATGGAACGAGTAGTGCGCCTTTATCTTTGTGTCTTTCTGAGTATTTTATTAGATTTTTTTTTGTGTTTGAAGATCATGGTTTAGTGATTTATGTATAATTGCTACTTTACTTTTGAGTCTTCTATTCTGAAGGCTTTCTAAATTGTGTGATTTTACTAATGGTGTTACTCTAGTCAAATGTGAATATTCGTTTATTATGAATCTCACTGCTCTATTTTGTGTCTGTTCCAGTTTCTTAATGTTTTCTTGTGTTGAGGGGTCCCAAACGGAGGATGCATATTTTATATTGGCCTAACCAAGGTTATATAACATTTTAGTTTTATGTTCTTATTTTATTATTTATTATTTATATTATTATTTTAATCTTTTTTATTAACAAGCTACTTCGTGCATCTCGACGGTATAAACTTCCGTTAGTTTAATTTATTTAATTTCTTTATTGAATACATTTATGTTTAAGAAAGCTCCTTATGTAATTCAATAATCATCCAATTATCCACCCTCTTTCTATAGTGTTAGTAAAAGAATTTATTCTATAGTAATAGAACTTATTTTTCTACATTTTTATAAGCAAAAGAAAAAGAAGAATCTTAGAGCATCTATAGTTAAAATTGTCTTCGTGGCCCAACCACGAAGAAAAAGTCATGGAAAGATAACTCTTTTATTTCTGCAAGTTGTATGTACTTGGTCTTCTTTAAAATCTTTTTTTCTAATATTTTATTTTGTCTATGCCCCTTCACCTGGTTGGCGGAGTTGATTGTTTTATCTTGACATAGCATGGATTCTTCAGTGGCAAGTGGACCGGGCTGGACTAAGCAAGAGATAAAAACAGTCCAAATATTTTCCATAGCCAGTAACGGTCAATGGTCGGTCAGTTCAGCAATACTATTGTCTGGGAAAGGTATAATCCTGGAATGTGGCTGGAGACTTTTCTTGATACCATCAGTTTAGAGCCTGCAGATTTTAGAAAGGTTCGACCCTTCACTAACCTCCTTTTCGAAGGCTGATCAATTTCAGCATTTCTACAAATATACAGACACAGCCAAAAGTTCATTAGTTTGTCTCTTTTGTTTATTTTTTCTTCATTTTGTCTATTTCTCTTACACTGTGTGGGTCCTTGTTTATTTTTGTTTTAACTCCGTTTGATCTTACAAAGTCTAACGTTGCTCTTTTGTTTAGCCTTCGCTGTGCAACACTAAGATAATTTTGCAGATGTATCAGCGACTTTCGCAGTGTTGGATTTTGTACTAGTTTAGAGTTTTTAAGATGAAGGGAAACTAAAAGTCATTATGATTATATCGTGATCGTCGTCATCAACATCATCATCATCATCTAATTCCATTGAGTTTAAGCCTCAAAAGGTTCAAATCTTCTCTTGCAAAAGTTCTGAGCAGAAACTCGCTATATTACGTGTCACATCAGTTTTAGAACCCCTGTAATATTTGGTGACTAGTAATCACTGAACCATTCCGTGCAATCGCACGAGATTTTGTTTGGTCGGAAGCTGACCACGAGGTGTGAACACGGCAGTTGATCTTAGACTCTGGTAGAGAGAGGAGTGTTATGGATATTATTGACAAGTAGAGAGAGTTTTGTACAAGTATTGAAGTTATTATAATTGATTTGTATTCAGGACTTATTTTCTTGGATGTATTTTGTGATCGCTGAAGTTGCCAACATCTTTTATGATTCATTATTTTTATGTAATAAAAACCATGTCTGCTACCAGTGAGTCTATTAATTATTCTAAATATTGTGGTCAAAGAGTTCAGCATGTTAGTGTTCTTACGCACTAGCAAATCTAGTGCGCGAGTGAAAGTATTTAACTAAGAATACAAAGGGATATTATATCATCTACAAGAGGTATCTACATAACACGACATTCGCGTTAACACGCCTACAACAAAAACCAGGCTGTGACAATGCGTAATGCACGTATAAGGGTCAAGAAATTGTAGCTTTCCAGATCTTTTGAGATAGAGGTCAGCAAGCCTGGGGTTGTCAAAAAGCATAACCCATGTCTGCTTCAGGAAAACCGATGACAACTGTGCTTTGATCGCAATGGGCATTTTTCGGACATTGAACATTAAAACAACTGTACATGTTCTAGGCAAGTTCGACTAACAGTAATTAAGGGGAGCTAACTGATTAAATACTGAATTGAAGAGGATTTAATTCCCTTAAAACTGTTCTTAAATCTAATATGCAAATTATTTGAAGGATGTTAAACCAACAGAAGGTCTAAAATTTACAATTGTAATCTCAAAATTTTATTCTATATTCTAGTCTGTTATAACACTATCCAGTTTGTAGGTCAGTTTACTTTGTTGATTGAAAGACACTCACCGTTAGATGAGGACATCTGATTCTGATTCTGGACACTGATCATTGCTGAATGCCCACCGACAACGGTTGGCTGTACAACTCTGCCCTTATACTGACTCTTCTTGATACAACAGCAGATAATAGACACGATGATGACCACCCCGGCGATGCACCCTATGACGATCCCTATAATGTATCCAACACTGATATAGAAGAGATTGGTTAAAGAATTAAATAACCGATTACATTTTATTGACTCCTAAACCTACACTTTGACCATTACCTTTACAAAACTTTGACTTTGACCAATGACCAGTGTTTTTACTAAACTTTGAGAAACTTTAAATGTTAAATTCCTACTATTATCTGTGTTAAACCATGGTTGAAACTACTTGAAACCCTAAATCACCAGTTCAGATATTCATAACTGCATGTAAAAAAAAATATATAATTGACTGAAAGCTGAAATTCCGCACACATTACTATGGTTGGTTATTTAAATACGTGAATGTCATAAGGGGAGGCCCCTATCTGGTCTTTTTTCTTCGAAAAGAAAATTGACAAAACTCTTTATTAAAATATAAGAGAGATTATTTAATTAATTATCGAATACAAAGATATCTACCATTAGGGTACAGAATTCCGTCTTATAGTTCTTCCATCGTGGTTCGATGATGACCACTTTGTCATCCAGGAAGCTGAGGGCTTTACACTGGGGTTTTATGCCTCCTCATGTGGCTGGTGAAACCTATGTGAGCCAGGAATGTTCGGCTGCACACTGGGCAGGTTATTCCAGCTGGAGCTAGTGTCGTTTGCCTTGCTTTTCTTTTCTGGTGTTTTTCTTCTGCCAGCGTTGTTCTTTTTTCCTCAGCAACCTGTGCGCCATGATGCTCTGTCATGTGCCTCTGTCTCCCAGGTGCCTGGGTCTATGCTGAACGCCTTCAGAGAAGCTTTGAGGGTGTCCCTGAAGCGCTTTCTTTGACCACCTTGCGAGCGCTTTCCTTCGCTTAGTTGGCCATACAAGAGTCGTTTAGGGATGCGGTGGTCTTCCATTCTGTAGACGTGACTTGCCCATCGCAGCTGGGACAGCATCAGGATTGTGTGGATGCTTTGCAGACACGCTCTTCGCAGAACTTCTGTATTTCGATTTTTCAAATTCCGTTTATAGTACATGGTGGAACCAACTCTTTTATAGGCATTTTTCTTAATACTTACTATAAGCAAGAAATCGTAGATTGATTTTTTTTTTAAAATTATTAGTTTAATGTTTGTTTTCAAAACACAAAACCTGTCGAGAATGTCTTTATAAGAATATTACACATATCCAACCTGCTAAAATATATTGCTTAGGACCTGTCGTACTTATTTAACCTTTTATTTTTAAAAATGATACAAGAACCTTTATGAAGTCCTAGATATGTGTAACTTAAGCTGATTTT